TCATATGAGATGTATTAGGCTTTTAGTTAGAGGCTCATAGCCCAAGATGAGCTAAGGCCCATTAACCCAATAGTAGGCCCAATCTTTTTGTGGTCTTTAAGACTAATCCATTTCTCTTGGATCCTTCAATGTATCACCTCTTGGTCTTCTTGGCCTTGACATGATTCCATCAATTTATAATTTAATTATTTTATGAATTCAAAATGATTTTTCTTCAGAGGTTTAATGAATTTTGAATAAAATTTATATTAAAAATAATATATAATTAAAATTTGTAAGTTATTTATTAAATGAACATGGTGATTTAGTGATTAAAGTTATTTAAACAACTTAGAAATTTTGAGTTGAGTGTTTGCAAATTTTCAAGATTATTTAGATATATTAAAATGAAGAAATTGTATATGTTAGAGACTAAAATAAAAGTATTTATTTAGATTAGTGAAGAAAATAGACACTTGATAGCTCTTAATTTTTAAAAGTTACAAATAAAAAATAAATTAAAATAATAATAGTGAGTAATTACTTAAAAAATATGAACGATTATTATTATTTTTAATAATTGAAGAATATAATAGGTATAAATAACCCTTTCAATTTCATCATTTTGATTCATGATATCGTGTCATGTATTGTTCACCCACGAATCGTGTGATATTTCACATAACATGTTAATTCACAAGTTAACTAAGGTTGTTAACTTTTTTGTATTTCTTCTAGGTAAAGCAATGCTAAGGACCAATAACAAGTAACAAAAAGTAAAAGTTAAATATTAATGTTATTTTTGTCCAAAACTAAAATCATATTTTCTCTAAAGTATAAATTAATGTTTTGTGCTACCTTAAGAGTATGCAAAGGGGTATTATTTTGAAAAGACATTATGTAAATCCTAAATGGGAAAGTAAAGATGGGTTACGAAAGATAAAAGGTATGCCCTCCCTTGATGTGATTGGAAAGTATGATCCAAAGTAAGATGGGGAAGGTTGGTGTAAGATAAAGCCATAATTAATACTTGAGGTCTAAGCACCCTAAGATCATAAAATATCTTAGACTTGACTATAAAAGTGAATTGAGGAAGAGTAATAAAGTACGAGAATTTAAGAGGGAAAACTATACTAGTATATAACAATAAGTTAGTACAATAGTTATGAGAGTGATTATCAACAAAAAAAAAAATAGAATCTAGAAGATTGATCTGTAGAATCCTACTATAGACAAAAGTTTATTTAAGGTTAAGTGTAAAGTAAAACCATAAGACCTAAGAAATAGGCTTCAAGGATAAGAAAGTCACACTTGTCTATCGAGTCTTTAGTATACTCATTAAGATTTTTGCCTCATTAATTTAATTTTTATGTTTTAGGATAGTAAAAAAAAAGACACTTGTAGATGAAGCTTCAAATTGCACGTGAAAAAAATATAATTTAGGTTTATGTATCTTTCTTTTGAAAAGTTTTGTATAACACATCAAGTGCCATATTTTTGTAATAAAATGTGTTAATTTTTTTTTATTTATATTATAATTTTTTTCCTTTATGAAATTTGATCATTTATGTTTACAATTTTCATATTATCAGAAATTTAGTAATAGTTAAGGTAATGTCACATAAAGTGTTACATGAACATAGTCACTCTCACATGTGTGAGAGAGATGGTGCTTGTCACATCTAACTCATGTGCTATAGTTTATTTTAAAATATTCTAATTTATTATTATAAAAAGCATAATATATTAAAATTCTTAATTTAATTAGAATATACAAACAATTTATTGGAATACTATACACAAGGTTTAAAATTCAAACTTGTTATAATCATTGTAATTTATATTAATAAAAAATATTGTCATCGAATCACATATTATAATAATTAATATGCTTTTGAACTCATTATATCAACTTTGAAAGTTATATTTCTCATTAAAATAAGAAAATTTGATAAAAGTAATTTTCAAGCATTTATATTTTAAGATATATATGATATGTTATATGTGTATAATATTAAGGCTTAAATATATTTTTATTCTCCATAAATTGAATGAATTTTTATTTTGATCCTTGTAAAATTAATGAATAAGTATGTTAAAAATGATAGACTTACTCTTTTCAATAGACAAGGTTTAGGATTTAGTCTAGATAGACTTACTCTTTTCGATAATTCATGTTATGATTATCTGTCAATTTAAATTAATGAAATGAAGTATCAAATAATTTTTAAATTGTTCAAAATTTTGTAGACTTTATTCAATGGTTGAATTGTTAAAGTTTGGTGTAGAACATGAGTTATTGAGTGAAATAAGTCTAAGTAGACTTACTCTTAGAATAAGTTGAGCCATCTTCTCTCTCTTTATGTACCTTGGTGACTCTAGTATTAGGGATGGCAACGGGGCAGGTCGGGTACGAGTTTCTATCAATTATAATAATTAGTTTTTAAATTATAATAATCAGTTTTTATTAGCCAGCTTTTGCATATTTGCTTTCCCTTTATCAGGACATCATGCATCCCAATGCAAATATAAAGCGACAAATGACAATCCTCCTGAGCATAGGGCCAACCTAGTTAAAGGAGATGATATTATTGTTGCGGTCGTTTCTCAAGTAAATGTTGTGACCAATGTGAGTAAGTGGGTAGTTGATTATGGAGCTACTAGACATATTTGTGCTAACAAAAATGCATTTACCTCCTACACTTTTGTGAAAAATGGAGAAGAACATGTGTACCTTGGTGACTCTAGTATTAGGGATGGCAACGGGGCAGGTCGGGTACGAGTTTCTATCAATTATAATAATTAGTTTTTAAATTATAATAATCAGTTTTTATTAGCCAGCTTTTGCATATTTGCTTTCCCTTTATTTAGGCTAACTGTTAGTGCTAAATTGGTGGAGTTTATTCCTGTGATTCTTTCCAATTTACGTTATCAATTTGTATATTTATACTACTGTAACCCAATGACAAAATCAATCAAATTCATTCCAAACATTTTCCTATATGGTATCAGCCTAATACACGATCCTCTTCTCCTTTTTTTTTTTCCAACACAGGACGTCGCTCCTTCCTTTCTTTTTGCCTCCCATGGCCAACGACAACTTTTCATCTATTAGCAACCCTCATGAGCCATCAAAACCCTTCATTTGCATCACCCTCAGCAGTGTCACCAAGCTTTTTCCCTTCAATTTTTGTGGCTACAAATGAGCAGTTAGGGAATAATGTTCCGTTATCAGTGGTTCTAATTAATCAGCATGAACATCCACTATTAATTAATATGATTTAATATTAATTAATATAAATAGGGCATGATTTCAATAAAAGATATGATAACAAATTTGATCACAATAGAAAAAAGAAATTTCTTAATAATGTCCAACAAAATGTTGCTTCTAACCCATTATTTAAGAAAAAAAATGAAATTGTTATGTTTGTGGAAAGCCAGGACATCATGCATCCCAATGCAAATATAAAGCGACAAATGACAATCCTCCTGAGCATAGGGCCAACCTAGTTAAAGGAGATGATATTATTGTTGCGGTCGTTTCTCAAGTAAATGTTGTGACCAATGTGAGTAAGTGGGTAGTTGATTATGGAGCTACTAGACATATTTGTGCTAACAAAAATGCATTTACCTCCTACACTTTTGTGAAAAATGGAGAAGAACATGTGTACCTTGGTGACTCTAGTATTAGGGATGGCAACGGGGCAGGTCGGGTACGAGTTTCTATCAATTATAATAATTAGTTTTTAAATTATAATAATCAGTTTTTATTAGCCAGCTTTTGCATATTTGCTTTCCCTTTATTTAGGCTAACTGTTAGTGCTAAATTGGTGGAGTTTATTCCTGTGATTCTTTCCAATTTACGTTATCAATTTGTATATTTATACTACTGTAACCCAATGACAAAATCAATCAAATTCATTCCAAACATTTTCCTATATGGTATCAGCCTAATACACGATCCTCTTCTCCTTTTTTTTTTTCCAACACAGGACGTCGCTCCTTCCTTTTAAATGGTTTTCAAATTTTTTAAAAATTTGCAGATTTGATATATACATTAAGAATTTTAGATTCAACGATTGGATCGTTAAAATTTAATGTAAAACATGAATTATTGAACAGAATAAGTCTATATAAATTTATTTTTGGTGTAAACAAATCCCTCTTCTCACACACGCACACGCACACACACACGCGCACACACACCCGCACACACATATATATAAAGATAATTCCTCTTTTTGGTATACACATTATTTTAACTACTTTAATCTTTTATAAAAATTGCATAAAACATATGATACTAATTAATTTGTTCACTACTTCTACTAATATGTTTGTATTTAAAAGAAGATTTCACTAAAGCATAAAATGTCTTCTTTTTTACTAGTATATATATAAAGGAGTTTAGAGATTTAATGAATTTTGAGTAAAATTTATATTAAAGATAAAATATAATTAAAATTTGTAAGTTATTGATTAAATGAACATGATGATTTAATCATTAAAATTATTTAAATTACTTAAAAATTTTAAGTTGAATCTTTACAAATTTTCAAAATTACTTAGAGATTAAAATGAATTTAGAGACTAAAATAAAAGTATTTATTTATACTAGTGAAAAAAGGGACACTTGATACCTCTTAATTTTTGAAAGATAAATAAAAAAATAAATTAATATAATAATTGTGAGTAATTACTTTAAAAAAATATATCAATGATTTTTTTATAAATAAAAAAATTGAAGAATATAATAAATATAGATAATCCTTTCAATTCTATCATTTCGATCCATGATAACGTGTCATGTATTGTTAATCCACGAATTATGTGATAAGTTAACTAAGGTTGTTAACTTTAATATTTTTTTTTAGGTAAAGCAGTGTTAAGGATGAATAACAAGTAACCAAAATAAAAGTTAAATGTTAATATCCAAAATTAAAATGATATTTTGCTCAAAAGTATAAATACAAATGAATTAATAATTAATGATGAATAATATTATATGTTCACGTGTATTCACATCCCCATACACGTTTTGGTGAGTGGAGAGTGGTGGAGCTGGTTGCTACATTTGCAATTGCAATTTAACGGACCCGACACAGCGCCAAAACAACCCTCGTACCCCCTTTCAAATGGCTCGCACCTAGGTTTCCACCTTCCTAACTTTCTCTCTTCCTTCTCCACCTTTTCCTAATTCTAATTCCTCCATTCTCACTCCTTTCGCCATGTCCAACAGGTAATTTTTCAAATCCCTCTTTTCTTCTTTTTCAATTTCAATTTCCGTTTCACCCATTTTTGCTTCGATCTCCTCTCATGATTCTTCGATTTCTCTTTTTTTTTTTCTTCTCCGTTTATTTATTTATTTATTATCTGGGTCGCGCCTTTCGGTGCCGAAACAGACAAAAAAAGGGGAAAGAGGTTTGTGTTGTCGTTGTTGTTTGGTGTGTTAAGATTATTAACTTTTTTTTTTCTGATTTTTATGCGTTTGAACGCCTGTGTTATGGATTTTATAAGTTTTTTTTTTTTTTTTTGTGGCGGTTTTTTCATTTTGTTTCTCGTTTTTTGTATTTAGAAATGTTATTTTGTTTGAAGCGTAATGTGATTAGTTTTCTGTTAAATTGGGTTGGGATCGTTGGTGACTTGGTGTTTAATGTAAACAAGGTGAATTTTGAACTTGAAGTTTGGTTTTTTTATTTATATGCTAATGTTTCATTTTAAGTGACTTGAAAATTGTGTGTTGGGACGTGAGGATTATGCACTCATATGTTTTGTAATTTTTTTTTTCAATTGAATTTGTGTAGACTCCTTCTGTGTTTTTTGTTTTTGATCAGCTAGACTCTTTCTTGATTGCTTGTTCAGAATTTATTAATTAATTTATGATTCATGAATTGTCTTAGGGTTTGCAAGTTCTATGCGCGAGGGTCATGTTTGAAAGGGGACCAATGTGATTTTGCTCATGAGAGAAAGGATGATGTAAGTTGGTACTCTAATTCTGATTATCACATACTATGTTTATCCCCAATGGTTTTTTTATGGATTCTCTGACTTTTGTTTCTTATGTGGAGAACAGGTTTGCAGCTATTATCAAAAAGGATTCTGTGCTTATGGTAGTAGATGCAGATATAGGCATGTCAAAGCTTCGCAAGCGTCATCTTCGGCAAATGGTCATGGACGCCATTCTCCTGTTTTGGATTCTGTTGTGAGTCATACTGCCAAAGGAACTTCAAGTTGGGTTCCAAAGGCCGTTAAGTCATCTTCCCCGGACAAGCATGTAAGGAGTTCACAACAAAAGAATCTGTCCGCTCACGGGAATGATGTTGGTGAATCCAGTAATAGTAGCGCTGTACCATCTGAATATTTGTTTTGTGCATATGCTGCTGCCAACTGCCCCCTTGAAGATAAATGTTCTCGCATTCATGGAAATCAATGTTTATACTGTAGAAAATTTTGCTTACATCCTACTGATCGAAAGGAAAAAGAAAATCATTTGAGGACTTGTGAGAAAAAGGATAAATACCTTCAGGCTCTGAAAGATAGTCAAGAAGTAGAATGCAATGTTTGTTTGGAGCGTGTTCTTTCCAAACCTAAACCATCTGATTGCAAGTTTGGGTTGCTTCCTGAATGTGACCATGCTTTCTGTTTATCCTGTATCCGCAATTGGCGTAATAGTGCCACAAACTCTGGAATGGACATCAACAATACTGCTAATACAGTGAGAACCTGTCCTGTTTGTCGCAAACTATCATATTTTGTCATTCCAAGTGGTATTTGGTATTCTACTAAGGAAGAAAAACAGGAAATTATTGACAATTACAAAGCAAACTGCAAGTAATTTCTCATCTACTAAACTTCCCTCTAACTTTCCCGTAATTGATTTATTACTTGGTGACTGGCTGACTTTAAATTTATTTTGAGTTATGGTTAATTAATCAAAGGTGTTTTAGAGGATGGTTGGTTGAAAAAATAATTCCCACCTTCTATCATCTCTTTATCCCCCCCCCCCCC